TCACAGCATTAGGAAAGTTGAGAACCACTGAGCCATGCAGACAGATCAAGTATTTGCTTTTCTTAAATTTCATGAAAAGTTGCTTAATTTCAGGCTGGTGATGGTGGCACACACCTTTAATCCCAGCTCTTGGGAGGTAGAGGCAGGTGGATCTTTGTGAGTTCAAGACCAGCTTGGTCCACAGAGTGAGATCCAGGACAGCCAGGGCTGCAAAAAGAAACCCGTCTCCCTGTCTCAGAAAACAAAACAAAACAAAACAAAACAGACAAGCAAACAAAAAGCTTAATTTCTGGTTGTTGTTTGACTTCTCAAACACACAAATTATTTAACTCCTTAGATTAAGTGTAGAGAAGGCACAGTGTGTGTGTGAGAGACATCATCATCTTAGAGGTGGCCCAGTGTGTGTGTGACATGGTCTTTTGGAGATGGCAGTGAGGTCATTATTTCAAGGAGCACCTGTTGTTTTCAGGGTGGGGAATGGAGCTACTCCAGGGAGGTGTTGCTGAAAACAGACTCATGAGAGAAGACAAGCTAGGAGTCAGAACCAGAAAGCACCAGTTTCCAAGATGAACATTTCCTGCTCCACACACATACCAGGCTCTTTCTTTTTGTTGTAAACATTTAGTCCCAAATAAACACACAGAGGTTTATACTAATTATAAACTGTTTGGCCAATGGCTAAGGCTTTTTATTGGCTCTCTCTTAATTACTAACCCATTTCTATCAATCTGTGTATCTGCACGTTGTCTTGGCTTACTGGTGATGCAGGCCCTCTTGCTCCCTTGTGACTCATTCTCTGCATTCCTCTTCCCAGAATTCTCCTAGTCTGGTAGCCCTGCCAATACTTCCTGCCTGTCTACATCCTGCCTGGTCAAACAGCCTTATTCGTAAACCAATAAGAGAAACATATATTCACAGCATACAAAAGGACATCTACCATAATTTTGTTATTTATTTATTTATTCGTTCATTTATTTATTTATTTGAGACTGGGTTCTCTACATAGCCCTGCCCATCCTGCCAACTCACTCTGTAGACCAGGCTGGCCTTGAACTCAGAAATCTACCTGCCTCTTCCAATGCTGGGACTAAAGGTGTGCACCACCATGCCCAGCCCATTTCTCATAACTTAGGTTCACACTGAAGGCAATTGATGACACCACACAGAGATGGGGACGTATTTGTTTTAATTACAGTAAAGTTGCAAAATCATTCACCTGTGAAGGACATGCCATTCCTCCACTCCTTCCTGCTTCCAGATGCAAGGCAGGAGCTGGTGACTACTGTGTTGGCACTTGATGGATTATCTATGGACCTGTCAGGGCCTGGCCATGTGCATTCTTGGGAGGTAGTCAGGCAGATTTGGTAGAGCTTTAAAAAACTTAGTGACACACGGAGAGGACATGTAACCAAGAGAGGGGACCTTTCAAAAAATTACTACAGACGGAGGTCAAAGCAATTATTTTCTAAAACTGGAAACGAAGAAGGTAAGTATGCTCTCTGTCTTTTCCCTCCCTCCCCCTTTCCCTCTTTCTTTCTTCCTTTCTTTCTTTCTTTGGTTTTCCAAGACAGGGTTTCTCTGTGTAGCTCTGGCTGTCCTGGAACTTGCTCTATAGACCAGGCTGGCCTTGAACTCACAGAGATCTGCCTGCCTTTCCCTCCTGAGTACTGGGACTAACCACATGTGCCACCACCACCCAGCTGAGCATGCTCTTTTTCATGTTCACTTGGGCCCAAGGAACCCAACTGGCCTTTACATCCCATTGAACCAATGTCTTAAGATACAGCAATCTTAGCCAGACAGCATTCCCTACCGCATGCCAGATTAGGCAGTTGTACTTTTAAGATCTAATTCTTAGACGGCCACTGGTGGTGCACACCTTTAATCCCAGCACTCAGGAGGCAGAGTCAGGTGGATCTCTGTGAGTTTGAGGCCAATCTGGTCTACAGAGCTAATTTTAGGACAGAAAGAACCTGTCTCAAACAACAACAACAACAACAAAAAACCACCACTACCAATAAAAATCTGATGTATTAACAGAGAAGATAGAGGCCCAATGAGGATAAGATAGGAGAATAAAAGGAGAAATAAGGGGCCATGCTTCAGAAAGGATCTTACCGGTGTGTGGGGGGCATGGGGCTAGGGGTATGTGTGGACATCCTTTCTAGCAAGTGCTTTAGGAGGGCACTTAGAGTGGGGAGAAAAGCAAGTGCTATTATGACTGCTTTATGGTTTCTGTTATCAGTAAGGCCCTAACTCTTTCCAAGTTTAAATTTATTTAAATTAATTACTTCCTGGCCCCCATTTTAAAGAAGCCAAGCGGTCTGTGTGTCCATGCCTATGGAGAACAATCTGGGACTGGCAAGAAAGTTGGGAATATCCCTAGGCTGAGGGCTGGAGAGATGGCTCAGTGGTTAAGAGCACTTGCTGTTCCCAGCACCCACATGGAGGCTCCCAAACATCCTGAGTCTAGTTCCAGGGTATTCAAAGACATCTTCTGACCTCCTTGGGCACCAGGTATGAGGAGCACAAACATACATGCAGGTAAAACACTCATACACATCAAAAAACATTTCTTTAAAGACGTAGCCTGAAAGAGTTTTTTCCATCCAGGCTGGTCCCTGCTTTTCAGTCAGCACCTTCAGAGAGACCAAGAGACCACCTGGCTGACCTTCACCAACATACTTTTCTTTTCTTTTTTTTTTTTTTGGTTTTACAAGACAGGGTTTCTCTGTATTGTTTTGGAGGCTATTGGTCCAGCCCGGCCTCGAACTCACAGAGATCCGCCTGCCTCTGCCTCCCGAGTGCTGGGATTAAAGGCGTGCGCCACCACCGCCCGGCCAACATACTTTTCTTAAGGAATCCTGGGAAAGAGAAAGGGTTATTTCTAGAGGGGTGACTTAGAAGGGAACAGAGAACTTGGTTGCACATCTGAGTGTGAGCTACAAGGAGTCATCTGAGAGATATGACAGTCCAGAAGGTAAATGACTTATCTTCTCTGATCAGAAATTGGAGAGGAACACCAGCCATGATGCCCAAATGTAATGAACGGAACATTAAAAACAAAAACAGCTATGGGAAGAAGTAGTGGGCGGTAGAGAATGTCTGTAGGAAAAGCAGTTACTATAATGGGGACTAACTTTGTCGAAAGGCATTTTAAGAAAAGGAGGATGGAAGGTGAGGAGGAGGAGGGGACAGGGAGGGGGGAGGTGTCCTCTTGCTTATCCTTCCCAGGGCCCCAGCTTTCCTGGACCTGGATCACAAGCTCTACCCAGCTCCAGCTGTGGAGTGTACAGAAAAACTAGTTCTTCAAGGCATGAGGCTGGTCCCCAGGGCTGTGGCCCTGAAGGAAGCATGTCACAGGAAGGGACAAGCTTGGGCGCTGTGTTTGCTCCTCAGCCCCCACAGGTCCAGGGGTGAGACCCTAAAGTGGAGACACCTGAAACACAGAACATTACAAGTGGGCACGGGTTTTTATTCTCAGTGCATGACATTGGTTTCTGCTCATCAGCAAAAGCTTTATTGGTACCAAAAAAAAAATTACCCCTTTTAAAACTCGTCTTCCCATGTCAGTGAGACAATGCATTTGAATTACAGATTTGTCAGTTTATAGCACCCCCCAAGAACCATATAAATATAGGCAAAGAACTATACATAGAGCTTAAATAATGTCAATGCAAATACAGACTGGGTGCACTGTTAAGATGAACTGCAAACTATGACAACACACGCTAAGATATGCATTGCTTTGCTATCATCATGTCTGCCATGCAGACTACAGCAGTCCATTTTCTGTTTTTTCCTTTTGTACAAAAATACCAGTGCTCATCATAGTAGTTACTGAGAAGAAACTCAAAATTCCTATCTGCATGCCGATTAGAAAAGATGGCATAGATCCATTTGTTGACACATATATGGCATATTTACATATGGCATATATACACAAGGGGAGAAAACATGAACCAAAGGCCGATTCAGTTGCAGGGAGCTCACCTCCCTTTGCCTCTCCCAAACAGAAGAAGGGGATAGCAGACCTAACTGCAGAGCTGAGAAGGCAAACGTTCTGGCTCTGAGCTGAATGGAGGGGAGGGAGGGTGTCTGGTCTACTGAGGAGGAGGCTGGGATGGCTTCAGAGCAGCTGGCATTGTAACTGCCCACCCCCACTGGTGCCATGGGTGGACCCCAGACGTAGAAGGTGGCTGAATGTGCGGACTGCAATGGTACCACAGTAGAGGTAAGGCGAGGGATGGGGAGAAAGGGAAGGATACAGGAGAGGATCCAGGCATATTCAAGCTTGCATACCCCTCTGGATTTTCAGTAGTGAGGTAATCACTCTGATTGATCTGTGTAACTCTCCCCTAAAGCTTGAAGGAAAACAGAATTCCAAACCTGAGGAATCCACGTGTGCCCAGAGGGAGTCTAGCTGGTCTCTTTTACATCTTTTGGGATGGGAGAAGCACTTTAAAGGACAGTGAAGGGCTGTTGAGAAGGACCTAGTCCTCAGACTGCCAGACAGAGCTAGAAGCAGCCATTGCTGTATTTATCTTTTCCAATTTGGAGCTCAATCTGCTGTATTATACAAAATAGGAAGGTGTCACAACTTAGATTCATGCACAAAAACTCACTAATGGGACCACTCTAGGGGAAAGAGGGAGTGCAGGAAGCATAAAGAAATGTAAGCCCCACGTCAGAGTTCCCTTGCTGACCAGGAGAGACTCACTGACAATACTGCCAGCTAACTCCTTCAGAACAGAAGTCCAACTGGCCCTCACCCTGGTTACCAACAAGCCTGGCACTCCTCCATGGCAGCACACATCCATGTCCTGACAGTTGAGAAGCCTCTTCCAGTGGTTCCCTCACCACTGTGGGTTCTTACCCCTTTTTCTAGGTTTATCAAAAGACAGCTCTAGGATACGTTCTCTTTCTCCCCACCAGACCTCTTTCAAATCCAAAGCACCATTTAGGGGAAACTGTCATCAACTTCTGTCATAGTTACTCACCTTTTGGTGACGTTCCCAGCTCCTGAGAGGTGGGTGGGCAGAGGAGGTGTCGGGCAGTGTTCCGGGTGAAAAGGCACGGGCTTTCCTGGGTAGCAGTGGAGATGCTCGGCGCTGAAGGCTGGAGGAGGGTGTGTGGAAGCGAGGAGAGAGGAGGCAGCAGCTTTCCGGGGAGGGCCCTTTGCTCCTTGACAGAACACTGTCAGGAAGCTTCCTCTTTTGGATGTGTATTTTCAACACTGGAATATTTGCAAAAGTTGGGGGCCTCCTTGGAGGTGGAAAATGTGGGAGACAACAAAACTTAGAATGAGTAAAGTGAAGAGAATGTCGAAGCTGGTACTCGGGCGCCCAGCCTGTGGGGAGGTTCCTCAGATCCGATGGATTGGTTCTTTAGCCCTTCCCAAGGCTCCTTAATACTCATTTCCCCAACAATCAGCTCCTTGGCAAATACCCTTGAAAATAGTCTGCTTCAGTGATTTCTGGTCCTAGGCCTGCTCCAAGTTGGTCCTGAAACTCCTCACCCAGCTAGGAGACAGGGTCATG